TATATGAACTAGTCCAGCACAGGTGGGAATTACTTTTTTGCAAACTCTGAGTCCAATCCTCCAGTCCTGCAGTATGGATTTATTTCTGGCTCTGATTGATTCAAGACCTTTCCGGGTAGTTGTGAGCTGTGTCAGTCATAACCAATTCTAAGACCAGAAATATATATCAATATTTAAAAGACTCCGTTCTCAGTTTCCCAGAACATTCTTGCAAACAAAAAAATATTGATATAAATGTCAGTAAAATGCAGGTAAAACTTTTCTTTTTTAAGTCTTGTTTTCTCATTTGTTTTCTGGTTTGTTTTTTTTTTTTTCTTTGCAATTACTAGTCTGCAAGACGACATTGGTGGTTTAAATTTAAGTACTGGCATAAAATATTATTTTATGGTTTGTTTTCTTGTAGAATAGGTAAAATGGGAAGAGAAGTAGGTGAGTTCTGAAAATGAAACCGAATCTATTTCAAAGCCATTGTCCTGATGACTTGAGTGATGAGTTCACTAAACAGGGAATGGCCCTAAGTATCAGAATGACTTTTACATAGTATATGAAAAAATTTTTTCATTTAAATTTTTTTCTACCAACCATTGCATATTTCCGGATGAAATTTCCCCTGTAACGTACTAAGGCCTATGTCTGCACCCACTACACAGAAATGACGCCGCGCTCTTCTCTTACCGAGAGGAAGTTTGGGAGCTCTTTTTCCAGGAGGGCCTTTAGTTCTGCTTTGGTGAGGGCTTGCCTGTTGCCATCCGTCTTTGCATACTTGTCAAAGACAGCAATGATCATTCCCATCGCAGTTTCCAGCTGAGACATGTTGCTGCTGGAGCCTGGCTTTCTTCTCAACAGGAACAGCCTCAGGGCTCTCTTGGAGGATGGACACTGCTCTTATTCTGGGGTTCTTTATGCAACTGTCCCATCCAATCAATGGTGGCACACCAGAGGGACGGTTATCCCTTAGCAAACATCCGTGTCTAAGCACTGCTTGGAGCACACACCTCTGTGCTAACAGCTATTCAAACCTCAACCTTTATCATCCTGGTGTGGCTGGTACAACCAGTTGCCCATGAGTAGAAACCAGCCTCTCCTTCAAGACACACAGTGTGACTAACAAACGAAAATCATATTTTGATACTGGCTGTTTGCTCAAGAATCAGATTTGTTCCTTCAGATAACCTCATCCAAGCAGAGGGTCAATAGCCCAGCTTATACCATAGAGTGCATGCTAGCCTGCTCAGGAGGAAGAGGAGCACCTCACTTCTCCTTCACTACCATAGTTAGGGGCTCTGCAAGGTGCTGACTATGCTGAGCTCTAGACTGCCCTGTCTGCTGTGCAGAGGACCTTGTTGAAGACCCGGTGTATCACATTCACCGGATCAAAAGTGGGGGTCTGCGATCCCCCTGAGCTTGCACTCAGGCCAGAGTGGATGTCTGGAACCAACATCTCTCCAGGGCCAGTAAAGGGAGCCTTGTGGAGACACTCCACAAAGAACTTTATCAGATGGGGATATTTGAAAGAGTAAGTATGATACTTGAGCAAACAGCCAGTATCAAAATCCATCTCGATTGGCAGTGAATAACTTGTTATTGACCCTATGCAGTGTCAAACCCTGCCTGTGGTCCTCTGTGACTTCTGGTGAACTTTGTGAGTAGTTTGAAAACCCTGACCCCTCATCAATAAAATGCCAAACACACTGGACCCACATCTACACACAACAGAGCTGTTTAAGGGTCTGTGCTGGGAGCCGAGTGGTACGTGGACAGTGTCAGCTCAGGTGATGGAAGCTGATCAGCTACAGCTACACAGAGTTTTGAGGAAGTTAAAATTTCTGGCCAAGCAGCAGGGTAGCTTGGCCTCTGTCAAACTCCCAGTGGCTACGCTAGACCTGGAAGAGCTCATTTAATGTGAGTTACATCTACACTTGAGTCTGCAGAGTGGACACACTCTGAGGAAATTATATGGGGGAACCTATCAAAACTAGGGCATCATGCCTGAATAATGCTGATGGACCCCAGGGTGCAGTGTAGAAGACCCTGACTATGGATTCCCAAAATTAAACCTGAGTTTGGATGTCCTTGGCCATACCTCCACAAGCTTGAAGATCAGTTTCCACTCATGTTGTGCTATAGACAAGTTACCAAAAAATGGGTTTTAATTGAGAAAAAAAAAAATTAACTCCTTTGTCCTAGACATCTATAGCCACCTGTTCCCAAGGCAAAATCTGTCCTGTAAAATCTACAACACCTCAGAGCAAGACCACACATCACAAGTACATGAAATCTAGTACCTTTCTGAAACAAAAACCCCATGTTTTTTCATCTTACATTCTCCAACAAGGGATTTTGCATTTCTCAGAAGATCACAGCCACCTCTCAGGCTGTAATCTTTATTCAAATAGCCCATCAGAATTATTTCTTCCTGTGACTTCAACCTTGTGACATGGCTTGCATTAAGTGGGTGAGGGTTTTAAGGAAAGTTTGAAGTTTTTACATTAAGGTGTATGTTGAAACCTGTGGGGTTTCTTCAGAAGAAGGAACAAGAAGAGGGCAAACAACTGGCCTTTGTTAGCTATGAACATCATCTGGTGTTTGCACATACACATACTAGCAGTCACTGGTGTGTCAAGTGCCAGGAACTTTGCTTTGTCCTTTTCTGTAACATGAATATTAAATATGGCTGTTAAAGAAAAATAAATTCCTCCCTCTAAAGGAAAACCTAACGAAATAAAATGTCTACTTCAGTCATTGTCATGACTTTGAATCATGAACATCGGTGTTAGTTATACAGAAGAAGGAAAAACAGTGCCCTGAAAAGGCAGAAGAGGGGAGGTAACAGCTTCAGTCAACAGGATATGTCGGTATGTCCACACCTTTGCCACATAACCTGGCAGAAAAGGTGTCATCATTCTTGACCCATTTGCCTCTGCAAACAAAGGTGACACATTATTTGGAGAAGATGGCTCCAGAAGTGCTAAAATGCAAAAAAACCCACAGGGCTTGCATTTCTACAAACTTGTTTCTACAAACAGGTCACCGTGGGAGCTCTGCATGTTTGGCTTCTTTTAAAATTTTTTTTAATGTGTCACATTTGTATTTATGCATGTGCACACACATCAGTATTGCTCAGACTTTTCAAATCATACTTGCTGTTTACACATTTTCTTACAATTTGTTTTTCATTAAGAATAGAGGTTCTGTGCACAAGGCACAGGCTATTACTGTTTTTGCTGTTTGCAAAAACAAAGCAGAGTACAAATAGCAGATGCAGGCAGGAAAGCAAGCAGGATTTTGATGTCAACCCAGCTGTCCAGCTCCCCAGTGAGATAAGCCATTTCTGTGGGTTTGCTTAATTTTATATTATTATTTGAATGTAAACAATATCCCTTATTTGATTCTTTCACCTTTCTTTTGTCGAAGAATGCTTTAAGCAACAGTGTGGTTTAGTATTTATTGAAGGTTTATATAGCATTAGCTCTCGCTGTTCTTAACTGAGGCCAAAAGCTTAGATTATTTATGTGATACAGAAGTGGACTGTCACACATGTAATTTTCAAAACCCATTCAGATATACTCAAATCTTATGGCATTTGGCCAGCTGCTCAGGCTTACATGAGATTTGTGTGACCTTGTGCTGATGTTTTCTTAGAGAATAAATTTTATCCTACGCTCTTTGCATCAATGTGTGTTTTGGAGAAGTCTGAATAAATACATTTCTCAGCTCTACTCTAAAAAGCCATTTGTTTCCCAGCCAGCTGAATAACTGAAGAGAAGTCTGAATAAATACATTTCTCAGCTCTACTCTAAAAAGCCATTTGTTTCCCAGCCAGCTGAATAGCAAACAATAGGATAGCTGAAACGTTAAACTTCTGTTAGAGCTTATCATCCCTGAAAGCTTATTCCAAAAAGTGCAAGAAGTTAAACAAGAAGGAACTTTTGGCAATTGCTACAATTCTGTTATGTATCTGAATGGAAGAAGCACAGGAGGAAGAAAACACAACCTGAAATGACAAATTCGCTGTTTTTCTTAAGTTGTATCTTGGCAGAAGTACAAAAAGGCCTTTATTTTTCTTTTAGCAAGAGGATAACATTTGAACTATAAACAAGCATTGCATGTTCCACACTGAGACAAAATTATCAAAACCCTCACATTTTCCAGCGCCCTGCATTGTTTGTTGAACTTAAGAGTATCAACACACTTTATTTACTAAAGAGCAAGGTTTTCCTCTGCGCTGCTTCATGCTCTAAGAAACCGAAAACTTGCTCTAAGTCTGGTTAATAGATTTTAAAGGTCATTTCATTTCCGGAATGCGTGGTAAATTTATTTTTACCTAGTGATTAAATGATGTAATTACTACATTGTTTTGCAAAACACAGAAAGATGAGACTGAACAGGCACTGATGAAGCATAAGAGGAGTTTTTAAAAGCACAGTATGATGTTTGGTGACACTGTATAGGTTCTGTAAATTATATATATGTATAGTTTTTCATTACTTTATTATAATTGACTTCTCAAAATATCCTTACAATGCATTTCACAAATGCAATTGATAAGCTCACGTACATTTTAAGTGAAGTTTTAAGGCAGGTAAAAAGGGGAAGACCAAGGTGAACTAACTGGCTATGTGACTTTCTCAGCTGAGAGCTGGGGGAATAACGCTGTCGTCTGGCAAAGCTGCACCACGGAAAACACACTTTCATCACTGCATATTGACTCTACTCAAACACGTTTATTAGTGCACTAGACATAGCCACGTTAAACTGTAAAATCAATGAATATATTACAGCCAATAAATTAATATTTGCAGTGTAAATACTTCTGCCTAGTTTTCAATCCTTGATTGAATAATTTCCTGGATGCTAACCTTTACAGGGTTTTTTATACTTCAATTTTAAGCTCCATGATATTAAAGCTTCCAAGTGTTTTTTATTGTAATGACAGAAAGCGAGGTCACACCCTAAGGTAACTGAGTATTGTCCACTCAAGTGCTTTAGTCATGGTTTAATCTGGTCTCACACGGACAGTCCAATTGTCATTTTGCTACTTTAAGGCTTATAAAATCCTACTCAGATGTAGGGTCATCATGCTGAGCTGTGGTTGTAAAAAGTCGTTCTATGGTATGGTCAGAAAGAATTGGAAAAAAAGACAAAGAAGAAAAAGGAGACAAAAAAAGAGTAAAATAAATGAGCTGTGAGAAGGTATGGTTTTGTAAAGTTTAAAACAGACTGAGTGAACTTTTTAAAGGAAGTTCCTATTTGTTAGAGAGAGATAAAGAGAAACGAGAATGACTAAGTGAATCCCAAGAAAGCTTTCAAAAGACTTTCATATGCAAAAATATTTTGGCCACGTTAAGCTCTCACGAACTAAACAACACTATTTCTCCTATATTGTACAAAACCATTTTCTCTGAGAGAAGGAATCCCAAAGAGAAAGCATCCTCCTGTTGAGTGTCTGTGCAGGCAACACATCAAAAAAAATCTTTCACATCCACCATAAAAATATTTTTTTTTTTGCATTTTAAAATACTAATTTATGCATACACTGAAGAAATGAGAAGGGCTGGCCTGCTACCACAGAACTGTGCGTGATGTGAGGTGATACCCATATATGCTGTCAGGAAGATTTCCAAGGCAATTTGATGGAGTGGAAGATCCCCAGGCACACACATTTCACTGAGCTGCCTGCTTTTGGTTTCCAGAAAGTAATGCCAGGGTGTAACACAACTTATTAGGTGGCCTTTTTCAGTAGGCAAACACTGCCACTGTTCTGACATTGTTAAGGGGGCAGCAAATGACCAGGCTCAGAAATACTGAAAGCTAGGGTGGGAAATGGGAACCAGAGCATGCTTTTGTAACAGACAATTTAACTTTATGTTTTGCTTATCAGAGAAAGAGAAGACCTTCACCAAACAGCAAAATAGAAAATGGACCTGCACAGAACTGGGAGAGCCCTTGACTTTGAGGGGGGGATCCCAACCATGAACAGACTCTTACCTAAACCCAGAGGATGCATCAGTGTGTTGAGGAAACATAGTCATGGATATAAATATAGGAATCACATTATTTTGCCCCCAAATTATCTTTTAAATTTGCTTAAATCAATCTAGATGGACTTCTTACTGGGTGTATTTAATAGAGCAGCCATTTGTGTGGCAGTTACTGGTTACGGTGTCTCGGAAATGGCCTGTGCCTGTCTGAGGTCCTCATGCTCAACGCCCGGGCCCAACGCTCACACAACGTTTCTACCACACTACTGCTCTGAAGGTGAGCTGAGAAACTAGTTGTTATTCTTTCTACACAGAGGCAATCGACTCATTTTTTCCCCACAGAACTTGAATGAAAGGGTAGCTACTCTTTCCATTTCCTTTCTTGCTCGATAGCAGTCCCCATTTAGATTAGATCTAGAGTCTTTAGGTTACACTTGGTCTGTATTTAAAAGGAAACTTCAAAGGACAAATTGTATTTAATATGGTACAACTGCTAAACTGAGAAAGGAGAGTTATTCTGTCTGAGAATACCCAATCAGCCCACTTATTTTTGCAGTCTGTCACCTTTAACACCTGACCTTTTCATACTGTCTTTGTTAGAGATGTTTATCTTGTTTTAACTCTTTCCAGAATTAAAAGCTATAAAGTGAAAAAAAAAGGGAGCAATACTTATTACTTGCTGTCATGATTTATTTCCATGGCAGCTTCAGAATCCATGTTACGCAGGCAACGTACAGATACAGCATTCCTGGCTCGTGGAACTGATCATCCAGCTTTAGGACAAGACAAGCCCATCAGGAGGTAACAGAACATTGAGCACGTTGGAGCAGATGTACATGATAGACCCAATTCCTTGTTATTCTTTTTGAACCCTTACGTTGTTTAGTTATCTCTCTAACCTCTGTCTGTCTATAGTCTGCTAATAACGCTAAATACTCCCTCTCTGCCTTACCCGTTTCATACTCCTCTACCTCTGTGGAGTTGAATACTTCCTGAGACAAAGGTATGAAGTAACTTTGATGACAGCAGCTCTGGCTGCATAAGATGTTGTTGAGCCCTGCCAACTGGAAAAAAGACAAGGAATTAATTATTGTCACATCCTATTGGCCAGCAAAATCCACCAGCACCAGAACACAGCAACCCAGCCAAAGCCTTGTTATTACAACGTGGTAGTTCATCAAAATCCTTCCTCCCGTCTCAGTATTTCATATAAAGTAGAAAATGAGAAATATTATCACCTGTCCTTTCTGTTGGTCAGAGAAATTGGTTAATGCTCTTTTGATCTGCATATTGTTTTGTCAGTTGTATTCACAGTTTCCTGTTTATAAAATACGGAGACAAGACCATTTATTAAAAGAAATAATGAAAAAACCCAACCCCAACTTTTACAGCTGTCGTCATTGTAGCTCCACAAGACAAGCATGATGGCAAAAATAAATTCTGATCATCTTACAGATTTACTCTCTCTTTTTTTCCTGCTGTCATTGATAGAGGATGTGGCAGTATCCGGAGTCTGATGGTGAAATAGATGCAGCACACAAAATTGCATTTGGGACTGAAAACCCAGTTCATCAAGACATAATAAAAGCAAAAGAGGATCCTCTTTAGGTTAGAGGAAACATGGACACTGTGAACCCTACGACACACTTCAATTTCCCTTTGGGTGCTATTTTTCCTTAAATTTGGGGTCTATTTAAAGATCACAGTCTTTAATAGAGAAGCAGGTAAAAACATTTTAGCTCAGATAAAGTATTGGTTTCAACTTTTATTTCCCAAACAATGCTAGGAACTAGGCAAGAATTACAATCCAAACACCTTTCTGTTCGCATAGATCAGACCTTCTCTATAGATTTGGCCTATCTACAGAGCTGCACCTGTCTAATGGAGGAGTACTTTTAACCTTAGAGTTGAATGAAAGCATCCTTAAGTCTATTTAAGCCTGGGCTGTAGCTGTTGAGTTTTTGAGAATAGTGGCAGTTTTGCAGCGGTTTTGATGTCAACAGTACAGAGAAACCGCTTTAGATAAAATCAGCTTTCAAACAAAGTTTAGTCAACCAAGTAAACATCATTGCTGTTTTGGCAGCACCGTTATCAGGCACAAGAACATTAGCTGTGACACCACACACAAACATGACTATTTTGCCAATATGCTGGTTGGGGCACCTCATCATCCTGCCCGCTACCAAGGATCCTTGGTGTAATGGAGCCAGGAATACCTGCTCCATACTCGCCTTCCACAGATACTATGACAGGAAAGAACCCCAATCCAGGGCTTGGAAAAAAAGCGTGGTTCAAGTCAGACTGAAATAATCCATACCCAGCAGCTAAGACTAGCTGCCTAAGTGCTAGATAGATTAATTAAGCTGCAACTCCCTGGATGATTGTGCAATGTATCAGGAAGAGAGAGAGTTCAGGGGTGTAGTCTCAAGATGACTATACCAGCTCTCCAAACCAGGGGCATGAGTGTGACAGAAGCAGAGAGGGAGCCTCATTTGTAGGACTATGACTAAGCCAAGTACATTGATGAGACAATAGAAGCACAGCAGAATATGTACGGGGCTTTACACGACATTGTGCCAGTGTTGCTCTTAAATGAGGATGTTTTAGCATGTGCTTAACACACGATTTTGAACTTCAAATTAAACCAGAACTGAACCATCACTTTGCAGCAGCCTGTTCAAGAGGGAATAACCACCAAAACTGGCTAAAACCGAAGGCCCAGGATTCTCTTCAAGTTCTGTTACTAGGCAGATGGACTTCATTATATATGGAACAATTAAGCACACAGTTAAACCTGAGATCATACTGGACACTAGAACATGTCCTGGGGTTAACTACAGAGCTCTTTTTTGTTTTTAAGCTACCAAAATTACCATGAAGAAGAAGAAGCCGAAGTCTGCCTGCCCTGGAAAATACTCATCAGGGTTTGCTGCTTCCCAAGTGGTACAGAAGCAGAGATGACATACACAATGCAGAGGTGGCAAACTCTTGTCAACCGAGTAGAACAGTCAGTGGCAACTCTGAAAACACCCTGCTGGCTCATAGCCACCGTCAGGCATAGATAAAAAATAGGTCACGGTAAATTGAGTGTAGTCTTCAACTGCCAGATGTTGGAAATTGCCATGTGAGCATACAAAATAGGAGCAGCTGTTAATATGGCAGCATTCTTTGCTGGTAGGAACCACATTTAATCAACAATTTATTAATAGTGTTGTAATGAAAATATGATTTGGAGACTATTAAACTGTAGCTTGGTGGCAATCTCTTCATTTAGCGGCTTTCCTTTAACAATTCCCTGAATACATCTCCTCATTGTGCTCAAGTAGAGAAGTAACCAGTAATATATGGAAAAAACAAAATTTACCACACTCACTTATAGCACTGGTGCATAACTGTGAGCTTCCTCATCAGAGACCTGGACCATCACCCCTTTTACCAATTGTGACTTTCTTGCGCAGGGGACAAAGTTACAGGGTTTGTGGAAATCCAGAGTCTCATTTGTGATCCTCAAAGGAACATGGCACGTGACAGCGTTTCACCACGCAGTAGAGGAAACCAATCTTGGAGGAAGGAAACTCATCTAACAATGAATTTCGGGACAAAAAACCGATAATATTTAAAAGTGGCTGAACTTCAAAAGGAAGAAAAGAATATCACCTTGCCTTATTCAATTTATACATAAATATAACGAGATATACTATAAGAAATAGTTTCTCTGGTAAAGGGTATGTTCACAGAGCAGTGATTACAGCTTATTTCAGACAATACTATATTCACGGCCGAAGGGTATCTAGGACAGGTTACAGAACAGCCCAAGAAAGGGGATCCTCACCAACAAGTGACCATGGCCAAGCTACAGTAATTTGAGAGGTAGCTTTGTGAACTGAAGTCACTATAGCATAGACAGAACCAGGCCACGAGCCCTGGTGTATGGCCTCAAAGATTTCATTACAGAATACTGAGCAGCAATGCAGTCACACATTTAGACTATGCAACCTGTTTTTAAGGGCTCTGAGAAACCTCATCTCCACCTACTGCGCTTCCCAGGTATGAGCTGTAACAAACCTCTTGAGCAGTGAAGTCGTTTCTCCCTGCTCAGCTGGGAATACGATCTAACCTCCAGCTAAGCTCTGAAAAAACTTTAGCAGAAGAGAAAATAACCCTGATATGTAAATACATCCACATTTCAGGTATCTGCTCTTAGTATTCAGCAGTCCTCGGACAACTGCCGTTAGCTTTGCTGTCAATGCTCTTCACCTCTGCCCAGCCCCTGGAAGCCAGGTTTCACTTACATTTTCTGTTTTGATTTTTCTTCAGTGATTTTTTTTTTTACGGTTTTAGAGCTGGCAAAAGTGAACAAGTGTTCACAAGCCCATTACCTCCAAACACCCCTCCTCCACCGGTTAGACAATAATTACACATAATAATCATACATATAGCTTCATTTAAACCTAGCATCTCATTGTGCGTAGGAGACTCCTTCCTCCTCTGGAAGACTTTTCCTAGCACGGGAATGAATTAACACTAACAGTCCCTTTCCACAGGAATGTAATCCTTTCTGGCATACCACTCTGGCTGTGATGTGGTCAACACTGATGATAGGTTCTGAGATCAGACTCCATCCTATGTGTAGTACTGTCTGTTCAGAAACCTAGCATCTCATTGTGCGTAGGAGACTACCTCCTCTGGAAGACTTTTCCTAGCATGTGAATGAATTAACACTAGCAGTCCCTTTCCACAGGAATGTAATCCTTTCTGGCATACCACTCTGGCTGTGATGTGGTCAACACTGATGATAGGTTCTGAGATCAGACTCCATCCTATGTGTAGTACTGTCTGTTCAGTCAAATGATTACCACCACGTGCATTTTTTTCCTCTACCTTCTGCTATTTATACATGGGCTGCCTGAATACATGCTTTTGTTGGGGAATGTTATTCAGTCCAGAAGATTTTTCAAAGTATGACAATACATCCTTTATTATTTCTGGACATGAGGGGAAGAGTTGAAGACAGTCTTCAAAAATTACATACCCTCCAAATTCAGACTCCTTACAGTGTTTTGTTAGTGACAAAACATTGAGAGACTGCTTGGAACCAACCTTTTTTGTTGCATATTGTCCCACTTCTGAGGAACCAACCTTTTTTGTTGCATATTGTCCCGCTTCTGACATGTTTCTAACAGGAAAGTCATGTAATCCATCCTTCAGCAGCAAGTTATCATATTGTTTTCAGTTTCACAGCTATTTAGCCATATTTTTTTTATGACACTGTCATTTTAGTTCTGAATGTCAAAGTAGATGGCGGATCCTCGTCTTGCTCTTGTTCTAGACTTTTTCAGCTGCCCTAGTTTGTGGGATTTCCTCATCTGCTGCACTGGATACCACAGTTGCCGTGGATTTGTCATCTTTTCCTCTTGATTCATTCAGAAAAGAATCAAGTGATTCATAAAGCGTAGACACAGCCTTAAAAAGCAATGAAAACTCCAGTCAAAATAACTTGTACCCATAAAGTCTATTTAAAATGAACTTTTACCCAAGACACAGCATCTAGCCCAGCCCAAGGGAACAGAGAGAAACACAGGCCATGGAGTTATAGTTTGAGAGGGAAAGAGTATCTCAGTACTAGCACTGAAAAGCAAAGTCTTCCTATATTTGGATTCAATTTTCTTAGTTAATTAGGTACTAGGCACAAAGTACTTATTTAGAATACCAAAGATGTCAAGTTCCAGTATAAATGAGATTCTATGCAATCTGAAACGGCAAAGCTTTTTTACCCCCTTAATCATTTAACTTCAGTATTTCCAAAAAGCTTTATCATTCAGTTCCTTCTGGATGGATGCTCTTGATGCAGTAAACTAGCAAACTGTCTTTTTTACCCCCTTAATCATTTAACTTCAGTATTTCCAAAAAGCTTTATCACTCAGTTCCTTCTGGATGGATGCTCTTTTGGTGCAGTAAACTAGCAAACTGCTGCGGTATTTGGATGATATCCTGGACTGTGCAAAAATCATCCTGTTTTTATTTCTTAAGCACATGCAGGATTTGAAATCTTTAGCAAAACCTGAGAATTTAAAGATCTGCCTGAAATGTGCACAAAGACCTGTGCTCACCGACGTATCAATACAAATTCTCAAGCTTACGTGGCATAAACTAGTAAAAAGGTCATGCAAGGGTGGCTTTTCATCTTCACGCTTATACTTTACAATGGGAGTTTACATTTTAGTTTTAATGAACAATGTTCAGAACAGAGAGAGGTACCTGCTGCTTAATGTCAAACAGGAGACATGGTAGGTATAGCAAACCAATCTGGATCATTCTTCTGTGCATTTTTGTAATGAACAATGTTCAGAACAGAGAGAGGTATATGCTGGCTTAATGTCAAACAGGAGGCATGGTAGGTATGGCCAACCAATCTGGATCATGCTTCTATGCATTTTTGCACAACCAGAGCCCTTCAGGAACGTGCTTTTTTGTGTGGTTCCATGAGCTGGAAGTTTGCATTAATGCTACAGATTAAGGCTTAGATTTGGGCTGGAACCTGCAGAAAAAAATCATCAGCTGCTCCAAGAATTCCATCCTCAAGGGCAGAACTTGGAAACACTCCCTGAGCATCTCAACTCAGGAAATATGGGGTGAATCTCCGGAGAGGGAGAGACAAGTGCTATACAGTAAAAGCATGACTTCAGCACCCAGCTCTGCCACGGCGATGTTCACTCTTAGGCTGAGCTAACTTAGATACTTGGAGCTATGTTTTGTCACCTGACCTAATTGCTCGGCCTTGTTATGACATTTGATGCAGGTGAGAGTAAAATCCACGCCTCGACTCAAGTTCTGTGACACAAGATTGCCTTTGCAACCCCAAGAATTGGAAAAAACCATGACATAAATTGGAGACTGTAAATAACCTTGCAGAGGCGTACAGAACCTTCAATGTTCGCTGTTCTAGAAATGGTGCCCAAACCTACCCAGAATGTACAGCTTTAAAAAAAAAGTGTAAGCAACATAAAAAAGCTAGTGGGAACTTTTTAGAGACTTACTTTTGCACAAACAGAAAAAAAAAATTAAATTAAACCAATCGTGTTCTGCAACACAATTGAAAGGCGATGTGTGCAGCTCCAGAGACACCATAATATTTGCACATCACTGCTGGCTAAATTAGTTTGAAATATAATGTCCATGCACACATATGTACTGGCTTCACTAACCTACTGGATCTCTTGAATGATGTATAAGATCCAATTATGCTTTAACATTTAAAATGATACTGCTATGGAATCAGTCTCTCTGCTTTCACTAAATGAGCAAAAAGGTCTGCTATATGAAAGAAAACACTGAACCTGTATCGTGACATGTTACTGTGGCTAAGCAGCTGCTAAATTATAAAGCAACAACAAAAGACCTTTTGTAATTGTATTCACACATCCTCCGGATGAGTCTTGTCCATTTTATACCTTAAGCAGTTAACAGCTACTAACGAACTCCTCGCTCTGCACCACCTCTGTTGCTTGCTTTCTCATTCTCAACCTCATATTCTTACGTCTTCAGTAAATATTAACAGGTAGAAGAGTTATCCATTTATAGCTAGTAATTAGAACATCTTATTACTATGACCAGACCACCTCGTGCCTTCTATTTTTAAAACCTTTTACTATGATGTCTGCTGTAAAAGAAAGTCTCTTCACTTCAGTGGGTATCTACATAGTACGGGGAATGAATTTTCCCAGCTATACATTTTCTTTTTTTAGAATGATGACTATTGCACAATAAAATATAAATACTACTGTTTTACTACCTGCATCCTGATATTTTCTCTCACTGGGATTTTAGTACCAATATGACCAAATCAAGACTGGAGCCAGGTTCTCTAACAGGAGAGTTCAGGAATCTGTAAACTCAATAACTGCAGTTGTGACCATGGGCTTTAGCATTTTATGTCACCTCTGTGTGGCTTATCCAAGCCTGTCCAGCTGATTGCAATGGAAGTTGCGCCTGCCTACGCAAGAGCTAAATTAGGGCTTCTTTCCCTTGCCCACTTTGTGTTTTAATGTAATAAAAAGATAAATAACTGCTTGGAAAAGAGAGCTTGCTTGAAATCTGCTACCTGCTCTCAGCCTGTCTTGCTTGCTCTAATGGCCCTATGAGCTGAAGCTGGTCCAAGCCCCTTGAGCTTGGTATACAATCATATGTATAGGGACTTTATTGCCATTTTATACTTCTACACTTCTTCACTCAGTCCCTATATCAATAGCTTCCACTTTTTGCTGCCCCCTTCTCCAGGCAATTTTAAATATAACAGAATCCAATACTTTCTTACTACATAAGTATCTTTTTTCTTATTTCTGAGTGTTGCCTTTTGTAAGAAAACTTTTTTGTTTTCTTTAAACCTTTCATATGTAGTAAGATGCAGTCCTAGGAACAGCAGCTTGTTGCGTCATTTCTGTTCCGTGCGCTCCCCAGTATCTCATTTTGAAATTCCTTCTCTCATAGAGTCTTTTTATAAACCACTTACCCATTCAGCAGAATTACATGATGAGTTTTCCTCAGCTGTTTCATTGGTGGATTCATTTCTCCCATAAAGTTCTGCAGTTTCGAGCATCTGCTCCTCCTGATGCCTTCCCGCCGGCACAGGAAGCTGTGCAGAACCTTAGCAAAAAAACAAGTTACAGTCACTGCTTGCTTACTATCCATTTCCATGGTCACACTGGTACTCTACCAGAGCTCTAGAAAGCTCTGCAGTGAAGAGCACAGAGCCCTTGTACGGCTGGTCTTGATGACAGGCGCTAGAGCTGTCTTCAGTTCCAGATGAAATCAACGATCATCAGGTTTCTGAACACCCCTTGTGCGAGGGACAGCTGGTCCATAGAGTTTGTGCCATGAAAACTGATCAGCTCACCCTTAAGCAGACACCTACAACGGGTCAGTTCAGTTATCTGCATCAACTCCAGTGACCGAAATCGGAGTTTAGGGGCTTCACTTGTCTAAATCCTCTCCCCCTGCTTTTTTAACCTACAAGTTGAATTGCATCTCAAGTCGTAGATATTCCACCTATATCCCCAACAGCTCACAAGCTGAATAATCCTCATATTGCAACCGTAATACTCATGCCACAGTTACTTAAGAGGCTGACTTAGGTTTTATGTCACTGATCCGTACCCACCGCCTGCAGTTGCCCTATGTTTACACTTGTCCTGTACCCTTGCCATTCACGGTTTTTTCTTGTGACTTCTTCCATCCCTCATCTCAGGATTTTGTAGAAATCAAAAATTAATAATGAGTTAAAAAAATTCACAGCTTAAAAAACATAGCTCAAACACAGTCCCCAAGGTTGGGTCTTTCAGATGTCACTTCCAGGAGAAAGACTACCATGCAGAGCTAAGTTCTGGCTCCTCACATTTTCCATCTGCTAAGAATTGGAACTGATATCCTTCAATACCCTAGCCAGGTCAAGATCTTCAGTCTAAGTGATCACTCTTCCTGGAAAGATAAATAATGGGGGCAAGTGGCTACAAGAACACTCACTTGGACTAAAAGCTGTGCCTCTGATCCCTCCTCTCAGCTTGAGGTGTCCCTAGCAGATCAGGACCAAGTGAACACAGGTTATACACTGAAATTCCTCTTAGTGATGCCTTTTAAGTGCACCTGTTCAGCCATCTGAAAATAAACATCTAACGCAGGGAACAAATGTTAAGAAAATACTGTCACTCACCAGAAAGTTTAGAGTGCTGTTTCTTTTTGTAGCAAAGACACAAGCTTCCCACTGCCACTAAGAAAGGAACGACGGCACATATTGCCAAATCTCTCTTTTTCAATGAGTGAGCTTCTGCAATAATATATTTGAAATCAAGTTACGTACCATTCAAAGATACAACAGAAGAATAAGACCACAGCAAAAATAAAATTAAAATTATAAGTGACTTCAAGAGTGAATCAATCCACCCCCCCCAAGTGCAAGGTCCTATACTTCACCATTCCTGAGGGATGCCTGCCTGATAACAGTAACATCGATCCCTCCCATAGCTCCTGCAGTTTGACATTTTTTTTCCCCCCAGTATCTAATGTGAGTATTTTTTGCTTGTACTTTAAGGCTATTACTTCTTGACCAAGTAAGAGAGCAGATCACGTAACCCATTTTAGAAGCTTAGATTATTTCAAAGCTTTATCAGCCTTTTACATTCATTTTCCGCCATTTTGAACACTACTTCGTTCATTCTCTGCCACTGACATTTTCTAAGTCTTTGATAATTTTTGTGCCTCGCTTTGGTCTACTGGTTGGCCGATAGTATAAAATAGTTTCCAAAACTGGACTGTGCTAGGTGAATGGAAAGGTTACTTCCCACGGCTTGACCAGTCAATAATACGAGTGATGCTCGGTAACGTTAAAGGTCTGATCAGAGCTACTCCCCTCGTCTTTCTCTACAGTTGAGAAGTAGAAAGAGAGAGGTAGAGCTCAGCATCTTCAAGCAGCGATGCATAGTGACTTGAGACAGTTGTGCAACAGAAGCGAGGTAAATTGTTTTCTAGGTAGCAAACCCTTAGCGAAGAAAACAAACGCTACATGGGGGAATTAATGCAGAGAGCTTAAGTCAATTGTCATTAAGAGCCATTCAGGTCCTCTCTGTGTTTGTCTCTTATCCTGAGATCCATGGCATTAAGGGAGGGATGTGGAAGAGGAAGGAAATGTATAAAATAGTTCAAACTGAAGAATCTTTTTGATGGCAAGTTAAATGGTATGCATATGTTCTTGCTAGCTTACCTTTCTCTTCAACAGTCACTGTTGTCCCATTTCCACACACTTTCTTACAGAAAGGTATTTCAATAATTATCTCACAGTAGTAAAATCCAGTGTCATTTACATTTGCAGATTTTATCACTAGCACATCCTTGCTTTCACAGGTGATATTGGATACATAGCAAAGTTTTGTTGATATAGTATTGGTGATGTTCTCTCTATCAACAAGATGCCAGCTTACTCTATACCTCTGAACAGATTTTTTTTCCCAAGTACAGGCGATTTCAGTGTAGTCTCCAATTGACAGATGTATTTTTGTTGGTGTTTGGGTGACCATTATATTATCGGGATTTGTAGCTAGTGGAGAAATACACATAGATTTAAAAGTTAAAGCAGCAAAGAGATGACATTACAGCTGCAATGTTTACAATCACAGTAAGTAAAACAATATTAATACTGTAAAATCATTATGAGATTAATTTTTAAGATTCGTTACTACCAACTTCTCCTTTGAACAACGGCAATCACCTTGCTGGCTAAAGGAAACTTTTAAGCTGGTGTGTTAAAGCCCTTCATCATTCTTTGTGTGCAATAAATGAAGATTTTTTTGTGTACTCTCTGATACGCTTATTTTTTATTTTAAACAAAAAGCTTTTTTAATGGCGGTTGAGTCTGAAGCACATTGAACATTTTATCTGCTAGATAAAGAATGACCAAAAGGAGTCATCCAGAATGATTCATCAGTGAATAGACTCATCAAGACGAAAGAAAAATCCACTACAATTTTTGTCATCATGTAGGAGTTCTTGTCCTGCACTGCTTCTAATTACTGACAAATGTACAGCATTTTTCAGGTGGGTTCTTTAATTTTGTTTAAATGTCTTTCATTAAGTTTTTGCTGACAGATATTACAGCATCAAATTCACCTCCTTAGTTTAATAAACTAAGTACGCAATATGCCATGCAGACCACAGTTGTGTCATCAGGTCTGTTGCCTGGCTTTTAGCTGAGGCTGGGTCGGACAGTATCAGATGAAATCAAACATTTTATTCTTTCCTGCTTTGAATCTCTTTATCACTCACTATCCAGATGCAAAGTAATCTACATGAGTTACTGTGCAATACTGTACAAAATATTTTCTTCTGAAGTGAACCCACTGTGTAGGTATCAGATCACTATTATTTTTATTCTAATGACAATGATGCTCATCACAAAAATGCCAATCCTATAAAAATCTAACCCTGTGACCATTAGTTTCATATGCTATGTGAAGAATTAGAATTTCCCTCTTCTAGCATTTATAATATTAAAGTGAAGAACTACTCATAATGAGAGTAAACTGCATGATTTTCTTTCAAATTTTATCCTATTTGTAACTCAGGCACATTTCACACCAACATATAAGTAATGGGATGATTTTGCCCCTATCTGGTCCTACAATGGCATTTGATAAGTTTTATCAGAATTATGCAAATAAACATCTTTCCATCATACCTAAAGGAGTCAAGCACCTCTATTTTTTCCCCAACACAGCACTCAACAACTTACAGAGAACAATATGGACAGCATAGGGATAATAAAAACAGCAGAAAAAAATAAGGGAAAGAATTGATGTAGTGTGTAAAGCGGTTCAAGCGTCAAAGAACCGATTACTAACTTCACTTTTTCTGTTTGCTTGGTTTGTCATTTAAAATCCAGTTGTGCTATAGGCTGTGCTATGCTGCCTTATGACTTTACTGTCTTTCTCAAAAATATCACTGGAAAAATCCTTTTGTTCTAGCTTAAGCTCTCTTTAGTTTCATTTTTAAATTTATACTGAACACCTTCAGTATCACCCAGTGCAATCTGTATCGAATAAGAAACACGAAGCCTTGTCTGCTTTGTTCTTCAGTATTTGTATGATCTGGAACAAAACCTCCTTAACATTTTAAAATTCTACATTCAGTGTTTGTCACAATAAATATTCAAGCCTGAAGGTCTAAGAAAAACAGTGCCTGCCTTAATCTAATATCATTTTGGGGGGTGAAGTGTACGGTTTGTTCCTCTACATTTTTTCTACAACCATCTCTTTGTGAAAGTGCTTTTTCATTCCCCACGCATTTTAATTTTGATTTCAGCATTATGAAAGTACAGTTAACATTCTCCTTGTCTCACACGCGTGTCTATTTGAGGTGAATACACTGTGAGAAGTTTTTTTTAAATCCAACTCAAGAACTACAAGTGAGTAACTAAAGTACAGTTAACATTCTCCTTGTCTCACACACGTGTCTATTTGAGGTGAATATACTGTGAGATGTTTTTTTGAATCCAACTCAAGAATTACAGGTGAGTAACTATCAACAACAACAAAAAAAAAGCAGACAAAGAGCACTTACCTAAGGAGCCAAAACACATTGTTAAAAGAAGTTTCAGTGAAATTATGATCATCACGCAGGATTATTAGGACTTGCATCACGGTGTCTCAGTTGAAGATCAGCAAAACAATAAATGAAAGCATGTCAGATTCGTAACTTAACTTCCTCTTCCCTCATGTGGTGAGGGCGGTAGGAAGCTAAATGCTATCAGCTTTTCCCTACGCTCTTTGAAATTACTGTCATAGATGTATCTGGTTTAGAGCCCAACTATCCTGCCTGAAATCAGAACATTTCTTTGAATTTTAAATTGTGTCCTAACTTTTCAACACTAGATTAGCCTCTCTTCTGGAATGACATGAAAAACCACTTTTCCAAACTTAGAGTGGTCTCAGGTGAATGTTTGCCATTGCACAAAAAAAAAGCAGACAAAGAGCACTTACCTAAGGAGCCAAAACACATTGTTAAAAGAAGTTTCAGTGAAATTATGATCATCACGCAGGATTATTAGGACTTGCATCACGGTGTCTCAGTTGAAGATCAGCAAAACAATAAATGAAAGCATGTCAGATTCGTAACTTAACTTCCTCTTCCCTCATGTGGTGAGGGCGGTAGGAAGCTAAATGCTATCAGCTTTTCCCTACGCTCTTTGAAATTACTGTCATAGATGTATCTGGTTTAGAGCCCAACTATCCTGCCTGAAATCAGAACATTTCTTTGAATTTTAAATTGTGTCCTAACTTTTCAACACTAGATTAGCCTCTCTTCTGGAATGACATGAAAAACCACTTTTCCAAACTTAGAGTGGTCTCAGGTGAATGTTTGCCATTGCAATTCTGCAATCCTTCATTTAAAGGGATTTTATGGAGATGAGACTTCTTTGGCTACTGCGTACATGTCTTATCAGCAGCCTCTTCCAGACAACCTTGTGAATCTTAGCCAAAGACAGAGACAATGACTGTACATAGGTTACATTGATATCAAGTGTTACTCCTGTCTTTCCTTATTGCACGTTTCATTCTCACCTTGCTGAAATGCAAGCAATGGTGGAGCAACGGAGGGAAGCTGAATTCAAAGAACTGCACTCACAGTGGCCTCAACATCCCACAACATCAGCAGGAAACACTCCAGGACACTACGCTGTGTACACAATGCATCTCACTACCACCTCTATGGGTGCACTTGTATTAATGCAATACCAGTGTCATATATATTAACCAAGGCTTCTTTCAGGAAGATTATAAGCATGGGTTAAATAAAATGAACTACAGTCATGTCACCAAGTTAAGGGCCATGAAGGCAAAACTCATTTGCTAAAAAAGATTTCTACAAGTATAGATAGCTGAATGCTGTTTAATGTTCTCCCGTACGGATTTTTGGCTCCAATTACACTGCCTGGCCAGAGAAGTGGAAGACAACATTGGTTCTGTTTTCTCAACTTATCCAGTCTTGTCCTTTGACAGATATTTCAAGCGCTAAGGTACCAAGCTGGACAAAATTGTCACACAAACACGTTCAGTTGGATAACATCAACATTGCAATGACAGAAATTTTTTAAAAAATAAATCAAACAAAACATGCTGAGAACATGAATCACTTAAATTAAGAACTTGATAAGAACCTGTCAACTGCAACATTTCTTAGAACTAACACCAGGTTTTCGCAGCACTGAGCAGTTCTCCAGAAGAGCTGAACTGCAATTTGTAATGAAGATAACAGCCACATTTAAAGCCTAAAGCACCGTTCCTTTCCATTTGTCAGCAACAAAAGCATGATGCATCAGTTCACCTGCTTCTCAGAAGCAGTTACCTTACAGAAGCAGTTTCCAGGCTTGTTTATATTGCCAAACAGGCTTGTTTATATTGCCAAATAAAAGAAAAATGAGACAACAACAAAGATAAACATCAAAAAAGTGAATTCTAGGACTTCACTGAAGGCTATCACGGTTTCTGATGGTACCCAGCTGGCTTAATTCACGTTTTAGAGCTAGTAAGGACACAACAAAGACCCTTACATTCAAGTGAATGAAAGGATTATTAAAGCAAATAGTTCATACTTAAGGATATTATTTAATTCTATTAAATAATGCTGTTGGCATTGACATTCATGTTATCTTTGGTACTTCTGGTCAAAGATGTAGAATAAATGAAGCCTGCATGTGTAAATTCAAGGGAATAACTAGCTTCTGTTGTATATAAATACCTACGTTTGTGCATTTAGCATTGAGCTATGCAGCTGGCAGCTCCAGCATGCAGGACATTTTGTCTAGAGACCAGGTGAAGCTTTTCAATAGTGCTGAGAGCAGCTTATATTTACTCTGAAAGATGCTTTGGTTCTAATCCAAAGCAGCTACTGTCAGAGATGGAATGAACTAGCACACAGAGAAAGGGGTTGGGAAAGAGGATTATTTTTAGCTCAGGTTACTTCACTGTACCGTTTTACAACACAACCCCACAAACACTCATCCCAGTACTACGGAGCGGGTGGAAAAACACGGTGACAAAACTTCTTAAGCTGACTTTGCTTAAGGGACTCTTGATCAGGAGTGGAGCAATAGGTCGACGGGTAACAGTTTTAAATTGAAAGAGGACAGATCTAGATTAGATATTAGGAAGAAATTGCGTAGTCATCTTAAGCTGACTTTGCTTAAGGGACTCTTGATCAGGAGTGGAGCAATAGGTCGACGGGTAACAGTTTTAAATTGAAAGAGGACAGATCTAGATTAGATATTAGGAAGAAATTGCATAGTGTGAGGGTGGTGAGACACTGGAACAGGTTGCCCAGAGAAGTTGTGGGTGCCCCATCCCTGGAAGTGTTCAAGACCAGGCTGGATAGGGCTTTGAGCAACCTGGTCTGGTGGGAGGTGTCCCTGCCCATTGCAGGGGGGTCAGAACTCGATCTTTAAGGTCCTTCCAACTTGAACCATACTATGATTCTATAAGCTTTCTTTTCTTTCTTCAACTTAATCTTAGTTAGCTTTGGAAACTGCATTGATGAATTTTGATTCTGTAAATGTGTAACTTTACTCACCCGTGTGCCGGAGATGCTCAGTGCAGAGGCACTCTGTTCTCGGAGAGGCAGTGACAGCTATAGCCAGTCTCTTATGGATGGTTTGCACAAATCCATCTTCCTGAAACTTTTCTCTAAGGCATTCAAAGAACAGCAGTGGAGGCATACTGAAAAATACATTTGAAACTTCTAAACAGAGAGGACCTAGCCCCCCTCCCTCCTCCTTACCCGTATGTCAGACTTGCTCGAAAGCTTGTAACACCAGTATTAATGAGACAGCAGCATTTTTGAGGTGTTGCTATCAGCTGGGAAAGTTTCTTAACCTACAGCAGCATTGAGGAGAGTATGTGTGAAACTCAAGGTAGCCAAATGAGTTTGCAATTTTGCTGCCCTGGAATAAGACGATGGAGCAAAATCCATTTACATTTATTTGCTATGAAAACTTAATCTGAATTTTTTATACTTGAAACAAAATTCTGAAGTCCTAAGTCAGACATATTATAAGATTCTTTTAAAAAAAAGTTTTAATTCACATTTACCTTTTCAAGATCTTCTTCATAGTTTCATAACAAACACTTCAGAAAGTTGCAGGTGTGCCAAAAGAAAGTTCTGGTGAAAATGGAGATTTGACTTTTGTTGTGCCTAACTTACGAATCGCCCCCTCTTCTGACTCAAACACAAGGTGGAAAGCACACCGTCACTTGGGCTTTTTACCCACTGCCTAACTTCAGTGTAACAGACTTCGTAACTTCTCCGGACAGACAGTGGTGTTCTATGTGCTCTGTATGATAGAAACACATTATTAATTTTTTCCAGTTATGACCCAAATAAAACCACCAAGACCTTAATTTGATATTGACTCTAGGGCTCTTCCTAGCACATTTATTTATTAGAACAGAAAAAACATGTCTGATTTAGTTTCCAACCGTGAATAATAAATGTCTCAGTAGAAAAACAGCTCCGCAGCACAAATGGACTGATAAAACAAACATACCAACTGTAGATACCACAATTAATTTAAAAATTATTTTGTAGAGTGCAAGTGATTCTTTTACCTGATGTAGTGATTAAAGTGATCTGCAAAGACTTTCAAAAGAGCAGCTATGTAATTCTTACACAACGGAAAAAAAATAATGGTGAGGGTACTGACTTCAATACATTAATGAGCAGGACTTTTTCAAAGATAAATGCTAGCATGAAAGAGGACTTGTTTTCTTTAGCTTTAAATTAGGTTTGCACCTAGCATAATGTAAAATAAAGGTTGTGAATCAACCTTTCCTATAAAGTAAAAAAAACCTAATAAAAATTATTTCTCTTGTGAGACCAAATAACTAGTATCTACATTTCAGCAATGTGAGATAGAACAGGGCAATGGGAAGGAAAGTGGAATATACCAAACCCAACCATGTGTTTGCCAAGTAGGGGCAAAACCTGTCACCTGTCAGTAGTTAGAAGTAGTTTCCTTCCTACTTTGTAATGAAGGCTCACATTTTTGCCACCCAAGCCACATCAGATGCTGAGCAACGCTACAGCCAGCAGAGCCTAAAGCCAACAGAGAAAACATGAAAAAGTGGCCTTGGGCACTGGAAAAGGAGTAAAACAGAGTTTACTGAGAGCCACTCTTTGTCCCTGGGCACAAGTGGAACTCCACCAGCTCTCAAGGACAAGCTTCTACTCCTAAAATTATATAGAATGATGGAATTAATATCATTTGGCTTTTCAGGCAAAATAAACTGATTTCCCAGAAGATCCAGGACAGCAGCATCTTGGCCGGTCTGCAGCCAGGAGCTCTGGAGAAAATAAGCTGTTTCAGACTTCTTACAAGTTCCCCTCTGACTGCTTGTCACATACTGTCCTTCTCCAACACACAAATGCTCTGCTATCTCTTTCTGGCTCTTCCACTCTGTAACTACTACTTCCTTAACCCCAACCAAAATTAAAACCCAAGCTTATTTACCGTAGCACAAGCATCCTGCATGCATGCATGACTTTTTTTCTCTGCTTACAATACCACATCCACCCTCTTCTCGTCTGTCCCTTTTGACCTATGGTTTGAAGTGGTATTTAAGTACAGAGTGGCCTGATTTCTATCAAGTCTTGACGTAGCACCACAATATTTCTCCTCACTATCTTGATACATCTGAGGGAAGAAAAAGGATGATTACTAAATGTATCCCTCTACAGAGATTTGAATGCCTGCAGGCTTCCATTTGCTTTTCCTGAGATTCCTCAGGAAAAAGAACATGTAAAATATGCAACGTCGTTGTCTTCTAGCAGGAATGCCATGCTTTTT